ATTTGAATACACAACGTTTCTATCGCAAATTTGAGGGGATAGGAAACGGGCGTTTCCTATTTAAGAAGCGAAGGTGTTCAATTTAAAGTTAGAGTAAAAATAAACAAAGTGACGCACGCTTGTGGTTTGACGATTTATAACCAGTCAGATGAATGATTGAATGTATTTCAACGTTTTTACAATAGGTAATTTATGTTATTGTTGCGTGTTCGAGCTTTGAAATCTATTGTGTTCAAAAAGGGGTATAGGTTTCAAGAGGACACCTGCCGGTAAGGCTAGAAGAGAGTGTTGTATAGTTTAACTATTAAAAATTGTAGCCGTGCAACGACAATAACAAACCAATCAACAATAAAATTCTTCACTGCATACAATCTTTTAACCCTTTAGCGCCGATTTTGTTTTTGTCGCCCATATCAGGTTTCAAGGTTTCAATAAATGAAGTCAATATAGCATTTTAAGGGTCTATTAAGGTCTATAAGGGTTCTGCTTGGCCTATCTCCTCTGCATTTGCATATAGAGAAAGTGGCTAGAACAACCATTTACAGATTTAAGCAATATGCTCAAAACTGTCCCGACATGTCCTACCAATGGGCTACGGAGCACATTATAAGCATTGATACTGTGCTATCAATGCCGTCAAATTTGGTGGGATCACTATCAGTGATTAATGCTCGATACCAGATTGTACTGCCTGAGCGTAACATAAATAATCCAATCCAAAATTATTTGGTTGGGGCTCTTCATCTGAATCGGAAGAGGAATTTGAAGAGCTATTTGATGAACCTTGATCTTCACCATGATTGTTGTAATTTTTTGGTCGTTTGAAAACATGCAGATATTTTTCAATTCTTTAGTACTTACGTTTTAGTTCAAAATAACAAAAAGTTCAATACAATTCTGCATTGCACACTGTACAAAACAAGAAGAAACGATAGTAAATGATCATATGATATCCCGACAACTCCCGAATATATTGATTCATTGTAAATCGGCATACCAACCGACCTTCCAGAATTTTTCAAAATTCAATGGGACATATGCGTACCAACAGGCGCGAAAGGGTTCAAAGAAGAAAATATCATAGTGTTGTAAAAACTTTAACGATAAATGTTAAACACTATGAAATACATTCTTTGATACTTTGTTTCAAGACATAATTCTGTATCTGGTAACAAATAACAGAAATAAGTTGATAATCTTGAAATACGAAAGAAGATAGAAAATAGCAACGAGACTGAACATATATTTTGACAGAAAATTGTTTGAAATTTATTGAATTAATTGTAATAGATTCATAAAAGTGTATCTTTGTTCAATAAGGTAACGAACATGTTATTGGGCAATAATTGTTGAAAAGTATATCTTTCCCTTCTGAATAAGTTAAATTGATAAATTCTAATTATTATAATGAACAAACACATTAAATTACCAATGTTGAACTTCCGAATTAATGTTTAATGTTAATTAAAACTACAAATATGCATTGATTAAATTATCAATCTTCCTTATTACTTAGTGAATCATTTTCATGTGTATTTAGTGGCCGATACTGAACTTTTCGCATTTTATATAGGATTGATGATTTGATAGATATTAAATTTAAAAAAGACCACAATAATTTTAAAATATTTCTGAATTTTCGTAATCTAAATGTGTGTTATAGATTTCAAGTTTCTCATAATTATAAAAACAATTATCACATGTTAATCGTACATCTTTATTGCATGATTATATGAAAATGGTTTATATTATGGTTTATATTTATAGTATCTCTACCGGTGAACGAATTTAGTCTAAAAGTTGATACAGCTCTGCTATTTTAGTGTGATGCTCATATACGTAATTATATCGTAGGGAAATAATGTTATATCTGAAAGAAATGATGAGAAAAAGATCATTATTACGAAAACAACAACTTAAGTCAATAGTTGTTAAAACGACGCATTGCAATGTATTTGAATCATTACTAGGGTGAGTAGTCAGAGTAAAGCTACTCATGTGAAATCCTAATATTGCGACTTACATGACGTGGCACAGGATGAATTAAGCCGGGCCTAAGATCAAAGGTCGGTCATAGAGATTAGTTATGCCATCAAATCCTACTCTTACGTCATTGAAGACAATGTTGCATGATCCTTGAATATATGGAGTACAATGGATGTGGGTTATGGAAGTGACGAGAGTGGATGAGAGAAAATCTTGGACATATTTAGCCATGTATTGATTTTCGGATATGAGTCTTGGACGTTAACCAACATCATGAAAATAATAATATTATATAATATTTCAGCTACTGAGATAAAGTAATTGAGGCAGGTCGCACCAGAATGGATAAAATAAAGAACAGTGAGATCAGGCAAAAATTAAATGTTGTTTAAAAAACATTGAAGAAAACATGCAACAAATAAGGTTTCCTTTAGTTAAAAAAAGTCTATGAAGGAATAACAAAGTACAAAAAAGTACCAAATTTTCACGTTCTACTTCTGTCCCTGAAATAAAAGCACTCACAGCGCTTCTTTATCTTGGCAGTAGATTACGTTTTCATCATGGGCATGGAGTAGAAATACTTGGATATACAATGAGTAGATTAGCCAGAAAAGAGTTGGTCAAATTCGCTCCTATTAAAGGTTTTTTGCTAGATCTTCATGGAAAATTGTAAAATCCTTTATTCCGTGGGTCTAAATGTGACACTTGATGAAAAGTTGCAATTTATGGTGGTTATATTTTCAAACAGAAAATATGGAATAAAAATTTACGCGATAGCTAATAGTGAAACTATTACGCCTCATATTGATGTCGTAAAGTGTTAGCTGGCCCAATTTAGGGTTCAGGCCGTAACACTACAGCTAAACAGCTTACAACATTTTCGGTTTTAGGAAAAAGTACACTTTTGCTTCCTCAGTACCAATGCCTAAATACCTAAATGTGAGGTAATCTGATCAAATAATGCACCAAAAAGAGATAAAATGAAACCGGAACTATAATAACTTATTACAACCATATGAAAAGAGCTCAAACAATACTTAGGAATAAATGACAAAACATTCGACAACCGAAGAACTTTTCTCAAAAAGTTGGGCTAGGAAATTACAAAACATCAACTGCATAACAGAAAGGCCAATACGAGAGGAGTGCCTGTAGCGCTTCAAGAAGAGATTAATCAAACTGCAGAACGGCTCAGTACAAATCTACCATATAGAAACAGAAATGGAGTATGAGTAGAAAAAGAAAAAATGTTTGTGTTTGCCAAAATCTTTGAAGTTATTGTATAGGTACTTATATTTTTGTATTCTTATAAATTTTATAATACTTACTACTACTATAACTGGCAATAAACATTTTAATGTTCAATGTCATTTGTACTGAATTTCATTTAAACTTTTATCATTGAACTGAATATCATTTCTGAGTACAGTTTTGAAAATAAACGATAGTTCAGTGCACGAAATTGTATAGAATTTACTGCTTTAACTGCTTTTTAAAGAAGATTCCTAAGTTAATAAGGAATAAGCCTCACAAAAGAGCTTCTCTGTCATCGAAATGTTATATACGGTTATCAAAATATGATATAGGACTCGAGATCTTTTGAACGGTTATGCCAAATTCATGATTCGTTATCCGATTTACACGACAAGAAAGATGTGAAATTGACAATTTAGAGACACTTAGTAAAATATTAGTTTTATATAGCTTAGATCAAAATGTTACCATTAATGAGATACTACCACCATGTCGCAGGCGTGATTGTTTTTACTACATAGTAAACGCTTCACATTTTTGCAAAGCTCTTTTATACCACCAACAAAGAGATTCGTTCCAGCCAGCAACCTGATGATCTTTTCAAACAATTTAAGTCTGCAAAAGATGTCAAAACGTGGGGTTCGGTAAAATAGCATTTCGGTTACACAAGAAACAAAACTATCTCCTAAATCTCCTATATGGCAAAAAGGGTGTGGCAGTAATGAAGTGGCAGACAACCCATAATTACTAAATACTATAATAGCACCAAATTAGGAGTGAATGTGGTTGGTCAATTGTGCACCACGTACAATATTCCAGAGCAACAAGCCGATTGCTATGTTTTATCATTTATTCTATACAACAATATAAATGCCAAAATTATTTTTGGGATAATAGTAGGGAATATATCTCAAGAGAAGATAGTTGATTCTTGTTTAATGTATTATGTCCATATCAAATACAAAAATTAGTTCAGGAGTTGTTTATTATCCTTGTCTTCTTTAAATGATAACACCGATAGATATTAATCGGTCTAAATTCGGATTAAAATAGATCAAGGTCAATTCTTTCTAAATAAAACATAGTTATTTTTTAAATACGCTACGATAAGATTACATATTAAAAAATCTTTTTTATTTTTCTTGCTTTAAACATATAAAAAAATTAATGTGAAAATAAATAACTTACATTAACTTCATTATCCATTTATTTTCAATGATAATCTTAAATTTAGCGGCCCATCTTTACACTGTGAAGGCAAGGAACATACTGATCAAGTATACAAATTTCTTATTTAAAATTCACTTTATGCAATGAATTAGTAATTTTTAGGTATATAGATTTTGGTGATTAATGATAGTTTTGCAAACTGATAAATTTTGTAATTCACTGATAGTGGAACTGATAGTGGGGGATTAATAAAACGGAAATCCTTCGAATTCTATAAAACCGTAACGAATATTAATCATTCGTTTCGCGGTTCCTTTCTTCACCGCAACGTTGCGTGGGCGAAATGTAATTGCTGGGCCATTACCCCAGTCGTTTTTCTTAATTCTTCTACCGCGCCGTTCTGACCGTTTGCCCCACGGGCTTCCATACGCTCCACCGTAATTAATACAGGAACAAATTCGCTTTTAATTAGTGGTTGCAGGTCGATCGGTTGATTGATTGCGAAAAGCGTAGCGCGCCATTTCGTATTAATAGTTCAAAAGGAAATTTATACTTTCACACACCGAAAAATAATAATATCAAGCATTTACCTTTCTATTTCTTCGTATCATATCGACTAAATCCGGTAAATAATGTTGTTTTCGTTATCCATTATAATCGTCAAGGCAACATCGTAACAATTTTCAGACTTCTTATTTTTCGTGCACAGGAACACAATTTATTTTCTATTTTTTTCAACAATAATCATTATTTTCACTATTTATTTGATCTACATGGTACGACAACTGCACCGAATCTATATTGGTTTAATTGCTTGTATAACCTTAAAAATTTGTTGGAAAAAATCGATGTCAATTCCATCAGGTCATAACAAAACATGACAGTAGTAGGTCAGCAGTGTTGAGTACATTTTCATCTACGTTCCTAGTCGATATATTGACCCCTACGTTCCAGCGTAGTTAGTCACTTTAAAAGACCTTTCGTCAGCGTTTATCCATTTTCAGGCTATCCATATTCGATATTCACTTCTAAGATATTTACACAACACAAAATCCAAAAGGAATAACTAGAAAATGAGAAAGGACCGAAAACGAGAACAAAACATAGTAAACGAAAACGGGATAAAGTTTTTTATCACCACAGCACCAACTGTAAAATAGGAACTAAACTTTAGTCTTAATTTTACATTATCGCCCTAACATTTTTTACTCACCCCAACGAGGGGCAGTGATTTTCGAACGACGGTTAAGGTAGACTAGGCGGCGACCGAGTCGACGTTCTGAGCAGGCGTCGCGACGTCAGATCGCAAAATTCTGCGCCAGCGCCGAAAACATCTCTCCCCCTTTATATTTAAGGGATGTCTGGGTTTGACAGCGTTATGAAAATTAATTAATATTATCCCAAAACTCTATTATACATAAGTTCTAACGGATTAAATATTAACAAAATTTATATCAAAAAATGTTATAGTTGAAAATGTAACATACATAAGTATACTGATGCAAAGTTAGCTCTTAATTTTTTTAGTCCCCAATTAAATAGGTATTATTTCATGATCCATAATCCGCCGGACCCAAGCGTTCGATTGAGATATAAAGTATTAATATATGTCAAGTCGATCTCAAGTTATAACCGGTTTAATTTAAATAACTTCTTATTGACAAGATTTTCGGGCGTCCATGTATAAACAACAACCGAACGCGGTGTCATTACGAGAGCTGTACAAGGTTAAGGGGAAAAAATTGAAGGTGTTGCACCTCTTTCCAAAATTAGAACTTGCAAGTAGCTTTGCGAGTTGTTTTCACAAAAAGTTTATTAACGATATTTATTTAACAGGCTTAATTTTATTTCTTTATAATGCATCACAGGGTTAAAACAAGAGAAGGCAATGAGAAAACACCGCATTTCATAACAACGCAAGTTTTATATTTAACTCGTAACCGATATGGTACAACTTTTGTCACGTTATCGGTATGGTGTTTTGTATATAACTTGGTACAGTGTTTTGTATATAACTTTTTGTAGTGAAGGTTTAAAAATTAAATGAAACAAGCATAAATGCAATAACTAATTATATTTTTATATGTTCGAATGCATTAAACTGAAATTTATACACAATGAATAAGAAAAAATGTTTCTTTGCTAAATTCATGTAATTTATAAACAAAAATTAATCCTAAAATAATTAGAGAAGATTACTTTAAAATGTGCACAAAAGTGACATTTTTTGATTTGTTCTTAGCATAAGTTCCCCCAAAATGTCATTTGTTATTATGCAAGATCAGGCATCTAGTTCAGAACAATTCTTTCCAAGCCGTTTTGCAGGCCCAACGACTCCTGGTAAATGTGAAATTATATTATGGGCTCGTGTTCGTACTTTTGATGAAGGTGGTTTTGAGCTCCATTTGAACCGATTCTTCCGGTAATAGTTGACAGAAGTTAAATTCTCGGCTGCAACAGTATTCTCACCTCTTTGTTCAATATGTAAGAGCAGAAGCGTCAATTAAAAACTATATTATTTGTTTTCAGAATTCAATATGACAATGACAAAATTACACAGATTGTATTTTAGCAAATTTGAGCCAGACACTACATAAATTTTATGAACCTATAAACGTCCGGTTACGCAATTAGACTGAAATTTAATATCTACATATTTTCATGATTATAAAGGCTGTAATGATTACAAATTGTCATGCATTTTATTTATATCTTATTTAAAATGCCAGTTATAAAAAAAATGATAAATGGTGATCAGGTAAAATACTACTTCCGGTTACAAGGTTCAAGTGAAATTTACGATCTGAATTACTCATAATTTTAATTTCAATTGCTTAGCGACGCAATATTTCATTTGTTTATGTCGTTTTAAAAGGCAAGTTTATATAAACCAAGTTCAATATGGTTTCAAGTAAACTACCACTTCCTGTTAACGGATATGACCCAAAACTTAGAGTAGCTTGCTGAGTTCTTGATGTGTAAATATTGTCCCTAGAGCTTTTTAACTTGTAAGAGAAAAGAAGATAATTTAGAGAGGTAATTAAAAGAGATAATTTTTACAAATATTATTCATCAAAGTCTGTTAAGAGATTCTCTTCTTACGATCAAAATACTACACATGTAAAATCTTATCTAATTGGAGGCTGACTTCGTGCTATTTCTCTAACTATTTATTTTAAAATAGTTCTCTTTTTTGTTGTTGAAGGTAATGATCTTGCTGTTTCGTCGTTGTTGAAACGGAGATCGTTGTTTTGCAATTTTACAAAGGTGCGGTTCTCGCAGTCGCACGCCCTGATAAATACCCTTTGACATGCATCGGGTATCAGTTGCGAAAGAAGCGGAGCTCTGCGAGAACGGTCAGCGAGTCGTTAAAGGTTGCCGACTACGACCGTATCTAGATTGCCTTAAATAAATTAGAGGAACTACTCTATACCTGGAGATATTTTCGTGGAAATAATTATTGTCGGTTTATTCGTCTTTGTCGTTGACGCGACAAGAAGGCGCGACTAAACGGGGCGATGAGGTGTAAAGGGAACCATAAGACACCCATAAGCGTTAGTTTGTAAGAATAATAGAGGTTGAAACATATTTTTCACCCGATTTCAACATCAACGTTAGTCATTTTATTCTTGCGTTAGATCTCAAATTTGACCGGCAATAATATTGGTTGTGAAAAAAAGTGGCTTACATTTCACCATTGTTGTTTGAATAGAATTTTTTTTAAGTACTTATATTGAGTCAGAAATTACGCGAAATAATTTAAATTAAATTAACTTTATCTTGTTTCTCTTAAATAAGAGTGATTCGTCGAATTAAATTGTCAGATTTTGATGCTTTATGTAATTTATTTTAATATAGTAGTAAAAATATTAATAGTACCTAAGAACAATACTGTTAACCTTGACATTTTCAATAAACCGGTCATATTATACAATACTCATAACATTATTTATTACACTGTCATAGAGAAACAATACAAAAAAGAGACACAATTAATCAGTAAACATGACGCAATGGTGTCACTAACAGTGTCACGAAGTACAGTTTATGCTTAATTATACTTGCTTAGAAACTCATTACCCGCATATACTATCCAAAGATAAGTTTATAATACACTAACATAATTCAAGATTGTTCAACCTTTATTATTCGTTCAAACAATGAGAAGCTAATGAGTGCATTTATAAACATAAATTCTTTGAAACTTTTAATGGTTTTTACTGAAAATGGTGTAAAAAATACTACGACTAGAAATACAGTAAAACCTCGATATAATGGATTAATACGGGGAAGGGAATGTCGTTATAGCCAAAAGTTCGTTATATGAAAGAATTTTAATTTATAGTTTAAACTGTTTGAATGAATTAATCGTGTGCCTCTTAAGACGGCTAAATTCGAATGTTTCTAGGTCTAGTATTAGTTCTAGAATAACACACTGAGAGAAATAGATTGTACGAATCGTATTATAGAAAAAATATTATACATGCAGCAATTCATTGTATTATATTCATTATAATTATTGTACTGAATACAATCTGGTCTCGCTGTCACTATTCGTAGTAAACGTATTATACCTTATAGTATATTTTTAGTGCATAGTACAATCCGTTTCTCTCAGTGCAATTAAACCTAGAATTAACTTTCTAGTTCTTTCTAGAAATTTTCTAGTTCTAGGTCCAGTGTTAATTCTAGATTTAGTTCATTGCTGCGAAATATTCGTCTATGGAGTAGAATTCCTTTTCTAAGAGCATATTCTTGACCTGTCTCTTAAAACTCTTCATATTCAATGTTTTGAAATGGGGTGATAATTCATTGTATAACTTTATAGATATATAGTTGAAATTTTTTTGTGCTTTTGTTGTTTGTAATATGGAAATTTGATGTCATCTCCTTGTCTGGTGCAGTAAGGGTGAGACTCTGTAATTGTGGTTAGTAAATCCCTGTTTTTGTGTATATAGTCTAGGCATGTAAGTATATATGAGGATGGTAATGTCAGTATTTTTAGAGTTTTAAAATGACCACTACAACTCTGATTTTGTTTTAGACCTACTATCGTTCTTATCGCTTTCTTTTTTAATTTGAAAACTTCTTTTAGGTCACTGCAAGCACCCCATATTGCTATGCCATACACCACCATGCAGTGGAAGTATGCGAAATACACATTTCGTGATTCAGCCAATATCAATATCTCAATATATTCAGCTTCATCAACTTCAATATATTGAAGTTGCTAGTTTCTTTTTAAGCTGAGATATGTGCTCTGACCAACTCAAACTTTCCGTAAACACCACGCCAAGGAATTTGGTCTTTTAATTTGCAACGTGATCATTGGTTTTCGAATAAAACGTGAGTAACTTGGTTTTAGTTTTATTTAATTGTAATTTGTTCGAGTTGAACCACTTTTCTGCCTCAACCATTGTTGTACTAGTTTTTTTGTGAAGTATTTCAATATCCTTTTCCACGTTTATGAAAGAAGTATCGTCCGCATAAAGACAGAGTGAATCCGATGCTACAAAATCCGACAGATCATTTATGTAGATCAAAAAAAGAATCGGTCCAAGAACCGAACCTTGCGGAACTCCTGTTTCGACTCTCTTCCACTCTGATATTTCACCTCTCCAGTGAGTTTGTTGTTGTCCCTATTTATTCAATTTCTTAGTAAGAATGTCATGATTAACAAGATCAAAAGCCTTGATAAGGTCACAAAAGGCGATTTGAGTATATTTTTGTTCATCAACACCTCTTATGATCACTTGTAATACATTAAGAAGTGCCGTGTTTGTGGGTTGATAACCATGTTACTAAGTCGTTAATAAGTTTTCATAAGTCAGATAATTAAGAAAGCTCTTCTTTATGACAATTTCCAAAATTTTGGACATTGTAGGTAGGACAGAGATTGCACGGTAATTATTCAGGTCATTTGGGATCTCCAGGTTGCTGTATTGGTATAATTTTCCCGTATTTTAGTTCTTCTGGAAAAATTTATTCTTTGATGCATTTATTGAAAATGTCTGTTAGTTGTATAGAAACACAAATTATTACTTCTTTTAAGAGTTTTGTTGATAATCCGTATACATATATCCAATGTACTCGTTTTTTTCAGGTCTTTTACTATTTGTAGTAGTTCCTCTTCCTTTAAGTCCGTAATCTGATTAAGCGATGTATTTGTTTGTTTCTGTTTCGATAGTAGAAATGAATTTGTATTATAATATGAAA